CTGTCACCTACGTGCCCACAGACTGTCTTGTGTGCCCTGAGGGCGGCTGATCCCCTGGAGATTTTGCTACTATCTGAGAGCAGCTGTGAAACTAAAGTGTTGCCAACATTGTCATATAGGTCAGCCTGGCACGCAGAGGATGCATCTTCTCTGTACCAGTGTGGCAGAATGTGGGCACCCAAAACCAGGATGCCTGAACTCAGCCTGAAGGGGTCAAGAGCAAGAAATCAGCTTGTTTGAGGTGGGTGATTTGAACCAAGCAGTGGCCAAGGGCTCATCTTGAAGCTTTGTGACTCAGGAGAGAGAAGGGGCAACACCTTAGTCCAAAGCCAACTGGAGGTGCCAAACAAAAGCTTGCTTAGGCTCCAGTGGTGAATTGCTTCATGGGAACGTGCTGTTCAGATGCTTTATTGAATTTTCAAGGAGAAGTTTTTCATTGGAGCTGAAATATGAGAGAGAACAGAGTGTTCCAAGTCACTAAAAATGGACAGACCAACAGCTTTACAGGTTTGTGAGTGGCAAAAAAGGTTTATTTAATAATGGGGAAAGAGACAGAACATAACCCAAGGTATCAAGAAGGAATTAATAGAATTAACAAAATAAAACACAGGCTTAGGAAGAAATACTAATTGTAGCTGTCCTGCAGGTTGTATGATACAGGTTATTTTTCTTAAGATTCAAGAAGCTTTGTAATATTGATCCCTCAAGGGCCTGAGATGTTAAATATACACTTCCCCAATGGGTAAAGCAGTTTGTTAATTAATTTTGCCTTGTCAGACCTGGTTGCTGAGCCTTTGGCTCTTGCATGAAGTATATGATTCTATAATAAGTTTTGCATTGCCTCTGGATACGCATCTTCTCGAGGTGGTCTGTATGTCATTTTGCCCCTGTGCAGTGAAATTTCTAGCCATATGAGCAGGAAGACTGAGCCTGTTCTTGTTCTAAAGCAAGCTGCAAATGCTTCTGCAATGGAGGCTCACTGGCATGTTGACTGAAAGCTGTAGCGTGAGGCGAGAGGGGTGAGCACAGGTTGAGCGTGGGAACCTCCTGGGTTGTGGCACCTTCTGTAAGTAGCAGGTGCTCTCTGATCAGGGCCTCTGATGTGCTGAGGCTGTGTGGCTAATAACTGTTTTTTCTGTCAGTGGCTACTGCAGAAGCACTGGCACTGAAGCAGACACAAAAGGTTGTTTAGCCGTGGCTGGGACACCTGCTCAGCTCTGGTCATTCCTCGTCAGAGATGTGCTGGCTCTGCAGAACTCTGTTTTCCAGCCCACCTGAGAGCAGACGGTGGAAGGACGTGTTGTCCTTCTGGACATAAGATCTCACTAATTGCTTCAGAATAAGTGGCTGGTGCTCGGGTTGAAGAATCAGGCCACTGTTTGTGAAAGGGGTATGGGAAACAAGACACCAAACAAATTCAGAGATAAAACGTTTGAATTTAACATCGGATCATGAAACAAACCGTTGGAAGTAGAAGGTTAAAAATTCTGTTGTGTCAGAAAAATGTGATGTGGTTATTAAACTTCAGATTCCAGCATTGTGCTTTTTCAGGTTACATGCAGAGCTGTAGGCAGCTCCAGCTTTGTCTTTGTGCTGAACCTGTAGTGTGGGGAGGACCTTTGCAGTGTCAGTTTGTTACTTCCCTCCATGTCCTATTGGAAAGTGAACTTGAGATGTGCTATTGAAAGAGTAAGGTTAAAATAATGCATCTGGGGTTAATATGGATTCATAATCCTACTAAAGGAGGCTTTGAAATAGGAAAGAATATCCCAGTAATTTCACTTTGGTCCTCTTCAGTGAAGTGTATGGTATGAAGATGAGGTCCAAGAGCAACATAACAGGACTTTAAATCCTCTGAGCACTGGGACTGATGTAACCAGATCTCAGGCTGGCTCCTTTCAAAAAGCAGTTTCTTCAGTTCTTTTGACTTCATCTCAGAGTAGCTTGAGGGGTATTTATGGTGGTTTTATTTCATATGCCAGTAGTTTTGGCACAAGTATGTCATAGTAATTTGTTAAATTTTTCTCAACTTGACCTGACACTGGAGTTTGGTCATGAGCTTGACCTGCATGGGAATGTGTGAGCACGTTAGGAAGTGGGGGCACATATGGTCCTCCCTCCATTGCCAGAGCCACCTCATTGCTGTCTCTGCTGCCGTGATGCTAAGGGACATGGCTTGCACCCACTTCAGAGCCTTGAAGCACAGCCATTCATGTGTGGTACATCACATGCACACACTCTTCAGACCTGTTTTGCCCACAGCTTCCCTTGTTGTGTCGTTTTGGTTTGTTTTGTTTTTTTTTTTCTTTTTCTACTGCCACCTTTTTCCTGTCTTTTTTCCCCCCTTTCTTCCTCATGCACATGCACAAAGTATTGTGGTTTTTTTTCATCTTGCCCTTCCTGTTTTCTTTCCCTCCAGATTTTTGTTATTTCTATCCTATAATTCTGATCCACTTCCCTGGAAGTCAGGCTGCAGGGGGAGTTTTCTGTGTCACTGCTTTGAAACAAACCTATTGGGATCTGTCATGGACAATGAGATGCTAGCAGGGCAATGTGGGAGCATATCACTGACACCCCTGAAATTTGAGAAAGTAGAAGCCATCTTTAGGAGGTCAGTGGAAAACCAGGGGGGTTGCTGAAGGAAGGTTGACAATATAGAGACTTCTTGGGGCTTTTGTTCTTTCGAAAAGATTAAATGGATGATCTTCCTCTTAGTAGCTAGATCAGAAACCGGTCTTGTCTGTTGATTTCTTCCAAACAAACCAAACAACACACATAAATAAGGTTGCTGAACATGGAGAAGAAGCTAAGGTTTTGAAGTACATCCAAACCACTAAGAATCATTCACTTTCCTTTCAAATGCAGCATTATCAATAGAGCTCTAAATCAATGAAAGGTCTAAAATTAGATTATATTCCTGAGATCAGATGTGAATCACAAGTTAATCATATTTTCTTTTATTATCACTGTCTTTACCCTTTTATGTTATCCTGAGAAATTAGCTTTCTGACTTGAAAACAGAGTAAACTGTGAAGGCATGAAACCCCACTGGGTTAGACCACACCACATCATCTGTGGATGGGATCCCAAAAATCTGCTGGTTTGAAGGTTCATGTTGCATCCCAAACAGAGCTCAAGTGATTTATCAGCTAGTGCTGTGTCTCCCTCTCCCCCAGCTGTCTGACGTTTCAAGTAGCTGCGTTTTTTTTTTTAATTAATGAGAAAATACTACTGCTAAAGCTTGCTAAATAAGGTTTAAAATCCACTCTGGATGTGACAGGGTAGAACAACAAACAATTATCTCTTGACTGTGGCACAAAGCTCTGGGAACTGTATTCTCCATTGCTATATTTCTAGCTGAAACTGGTAAAATACACCCATGTCTGAAAGCAGAGGTACACGGACACCTGCAAGGTGAGTGAGTGAGGTGTGCAAGCATGTAGATGATGTGTATCTGTTCATATGAGATGGCAGCTGTAGGGAGTGCTTCTCCTTGCAGGCAGCACCAGCTGTAGTCCCAGATCTGTGCATGCTGCTGCAGAAACATGGAGGTGTGCTTGAGAGGTGCTGTTGGCATTGTGTCTGTGTGTGTGCTCTGGGAGAGGTGTGTCTTGGTGGGTGTGATTCTGGCTGCTTGTAGTTGAGGAATGATGCCAACCTGAATCTGTGGATGCAACAAACAGCATGGGCACTGCAGGTACAATGAAGAGATGGTTTGCTTATAGGACAAAGACTTACATGAACAAAAAAATGATGGTGTTGCAGGAGGGGAATCTTCAAAGACCCCTGCAGAGGATGTGCACGCTCAGTAGGAAAGTCCTCAAGGATGTCATTGTCTGACATTTCTCAAAACTGTTCTCCCTGCTGCTGATCGCATTCCAGTATCCGTGCACTTGAAGGAAAGAGCGGGTGTGGGGTGTGGCAGTAGACTGGTGCCGACACGTGCCAGCAACATAACCCCCTGTGGGTGCAGGTTCGTGTCACCGCAGAGCTGCGTACTGGTGTCGCACGCTTCTGTGCCCAAGTTCGTGAGGGTGGGCAGCACGTGATGGTCAAGGCCTGTGTTTGTCATCAGAGGGAGACAGGTGTATCTAAAAAGGGTCTTCCACCTTTCCCCTGTGCAGCCACAGCACTTGCCAAGGCGTAATTAGTGGTACTCTCGTGTTTCAGGGCAGACTACTGAGCAGCTGCTGAAGTGGCAGCTCAGTTGGTAGCCTTGAAAACAAAACATCCCTTGTTTCTCACCACCACTGTGAAAGTGCCTTCCTGAACTTTGGGTTTGGCCCTGCAGCTTTCAAGATAGACAAAATGTGAGATTTTTTTTCAATGATGTAGGTCTGTTTAATATCCATTATCAATTTAATGTGCCACTTTAATGAGATTTTGCTTTTCCATCTCCTCTGTAGAGCTGATTACTTAGTGTATGTGGTTTGTGATTGGTTTTGGTTTTTTTAAAGGAAACTACGAGTGAAGAAGTTGAATGTTTGCTTCAGCTGAAGAGAGCATTTCCCAAGTCCTGCTGGGTAAAGGTGAAAAAGAGAAGCAGAGGATATTGCTAGTAGGTATGTACATGACAGGAAGCCATGACTAGCAGTGTGATTGCCAACAGGAAACAAAAGCTCCCAGCTGTTGTGATGCTGCCATACAGTACGCTTTCTGTGTCGTACTGCCTGCTGGACCTTGTAGCCTGGAGGGCATTATGTGTCTACGTGAGATATTCTCCTGTCCATTCTTCTGCTGGAGTTTGAATTATTCTGCATCTGGTTAATCTGCTTTGCTGGAGTTGGCAAGCCCTGGTCTTTTCCCTTGACATCTGCCACCGTAAAGATCTCGAACTGCTATGGGGAGAAGACAGAGCCTGTGAGCAACCTGCAGCGGCTGGCAGCAGAGCTATCCTCAGACCCCAGGCAGCTTTGAGGCATCTTGGCTGGTCAGTGCTCTGCAGATATGAACGCTGAGCTTTTCTGGCACGTTCTCGCATTGGCCTGGTCGCTCTCACCATGCTAGTACATGGGAAGGAAGACTTAATCTCAGACGTAGCGTACATCGTCCTGGAACTGGTCATTGCGGTGCTGGCCGTCCTGGGGAACATCCTGGTCTGCTGGGCGGTCTACCTGAATAGCAACTTGCAGAACGTCACCAATTACTTCGTGGTGTCCCTGGCTGCCGCTGACATTGCCGTGGGTGTGCTGGCAATCCCCTTTGCCATCACCATCAGCACTGGCTTCTGTGCCTTCTTCTATGGCTGCCTTTTCATTGCCTGCTTCGTCCTGGTCTTGACTCAGAGTTCGATCTTCAGCCTCCTGGCTATTGCCATTGACAGGATCATTGCGATCCGCATTCCCCTCAGGTAAGCACGGCCTGGGCTGCAGGGGTGGAGGAGGGGGAGCCTGGGGAGGGCTGAGCAGCAGTCAAAACAACATCTGGAGGTGAATCAAACAATGAAAAGTTAAATGAGGAGCAGCACTTTTCCTCCTTACAATTTGAAAAAGAACTTTTCTACGTTTTAAAGGCTGACTTGGCTGGTGGATTTTCTGGTTGCTTCTTTTTCCAGTTCTTCTCTGTCCTCATGGTGTGTATGCCCATGGCAGCTCAGCGGGACTGCCTGGGAGCTGCTGGTCCCTATTTACACAGGGTCATGCAGTAACCTCAGTAACCTGTGCTCTGAGCTGCAGCCAACAGCACCAGAAGGATCACTGGGGGAAAGTGGAGCTAAAGCAATACGTGGTGGTGGGCAGAAAAGAGGTGAGGTCAACTTGTCTCCTGCCCCACGGTGAGAATGGGGGACTGTGCCTGCAGCTCTAGCAGCAGGGTTGTGGAAAGTATAGATGGGGGCTTCCCTTGAGGTCTCTTGTGACAGGAGGAGAAGCAGCAGGCTATGAAGAAATGGGTCTCAGGAAGATTTGGACTAGCTTAGACACTGCCTCTGGAAGCAATGCATGCACCAGGTCAAGGCAGAGGCTTGTCCTGACCCACACCTGCAGGTGGTTGTTCTGTGCTCTCTGCTCTGGAGTTTAAAGGAAAAAGAGGACGTTTCACTGTTAGAGCTTGAAAGCTGGGTGTGAGTAGCTGCTGCTCTGTGTGAGGCCAGGGTGGGACACACGCACAGGGGCTGCTACGCAGTTTAGTTTTCCAGGAGCACGTGGTTGTGATGGGCTGTATCTGACCGTGGGCACGAAGCAGCTTTGCCTTTGGGGGCTGTGTGACAATGCTGCCGAGTCATTCAGTGAGCTCTGAAGATGTAGAGGAAGCCTCTGGAGAGGCCCATGCAGGCAGTGTGTAGGAGTCTACTTCCTTCCCATCTTGTCCTTAGGAGGATGCAGCACGCTTTCAGGGATGGAGAGACCTGCTGCCTCTTCTGAACAACAAATGCGGCTGCAAACTGGAACAAATTTGTGATTGTTGTGCTCTGAGGTTTGAGATTTTGGACATCCTCCCTCTTTTTGAGCTTAAATCACTTGTGTTGACCCGTGCAATTTAGTTTTGTCTCTGGTGAATACTTTGGTCATCCAGCACTTATGTTGATTAACACAAACCTCTCATTCAAAAATAGAAAGCATTCTTTTCCCTAGAGCTGCAGATTTCCTTTCCATGTGGACCAGTGCAGCACAGTCTTTCCTGAAGCCTTGCCTCAGCAAGCTTGTGCTGCTATGATGTTACTGGTAGTTATTGGTTTCCAAACCTATTTTTGTACCTATTACAGCCCCTGCTTTTGATGTAGTTGTAAGAAATACCTATTCCATTCCATCATGGAGAAAACTCTTATTGATATTAGTTACCTGTAAATTGGACTGTCTCCACTTTTCTACCACTCTACGTATAGGTGGTTTCAGTTTAGGAAACAAAATAATGATAGCTGATACAAAGAAACATATGTAGAGTAGCCCTTGGGAGCTTGCCTCTGATTTTGAGAAGGGCTAATGTCTTTAATTCACCTCTCATGAGCTAACTCTGAAGACTTTTGCAGACATTTTAAGTGCTGTTATTGCTAGAGGAGAACTTGCCAAGAAAAGGATTTTAAAAATCTGGATTTCTGCCCATTTTGGGGGCTATCACTGTAACTATATTATCTTGAAAATTTAATTGCTGGAATAGCCAATGTAAAGAGTCTTTTAGAAAAAATCAGACTTCATCAGTGCTGGGCAGAGTACAGATTTCACTATTTTGTTTTTGAAAAAACAGAGCACACCCTCTTCCACTCCAGGAATAGTGGAGTTGATTGGACGCAGAAACTCACCAGTGGATTTATGGGTTCCTCCTTGTCCTCTGCTGGTTTGTCCTTTTACAGTAGGAGTGAAGAACTTGTCAATAGTATTTTGTTTTGTTTAAATCCCTTAAGAGTTTAGGGATGAATGCACATTAGATTTATAGCCTTAGACATGCTGAGAAAGTGAAAGCTGATTAGCTGAAGAGGGAGGTGTGACATGATTCAGACTGCTCACATCCTCTCTTTTTTTCTTTTCTAATATATGGTTGTCTCAAAAATGTGTCAAACCATTGGAAGGGAAGTTCTGCCACCACACATGCAACATTTTCACCCCATCCTTTAATGCCTGGGAAAGCCTCTCCTCTGCTTCTCAGAGGACAAGAAAAGTAACACCAGGCATTCCTAGTTTTCATTAAATGAATGCTCTTAAATAGTAAGTCAGACTTCCTTCACTCTAGTGAAACCTAAAAGAGCCAAAACTATTTTTTCTTTTTGTTTTTACCTGTTTCATGTCTGATTTGTCCTAAGGAAGGTCACCACATGTCTCGGTGGATATCTAAATAGATGTGCACTCCCACACAAATAAGCTGTCAGGATTAAGGAGGCAAAAGAGTAGAATTTCTGATACTGCTTGGCTTTGGACACCTCAGTACATAGTTACCTTTGGAATGACTTTTCTGTGTATAAAAGACCCTCCCCAAAAAGGCTGCAGTGAGGAAAGAACTTGAAAATATGTGACAACTAATCCATTGATGTCTTATGGGTTCTACCTTTCAAGTGATTAAACTATTGTGTAGCATTCGATAAACTTTCCATAAGTTCTCAAACACTTTGTAGAATTCTGCCAGGTTTTATACAAATGTTAACACTCTGCAAGTGGCAATAAATCATTCCTAAGGAAGAGAGCCAGAGCCATTGTTCAGTCTAGGGTAAAATCCAAATTGTCTTTAACATGGCAGGTACCTGAAAACCTGCTCCTGGCGCTACAAAATCCCTGGTGTTCTGAACAAAACTGCCTGCGAGCCCCAGCTCCGGGGTGACGTCCTGGCCAAGCCAGGCCCTGTGGTGCCAGCCAAGGCCCCGTGGGCACAGTGCCCAGCCACGTGTGCTCCTGCAGGCACTGGTGGCAAAGTCATGCCCGGAGTGAGGGCAGGTGGCTCCAGAGCACTGCAAGGAGGGAGGCGAGAAGGGATGAACACAAACCCTGAATAAAGTATAGGACATGGAAGGGACCTTTTTGCTGAGAACAATCAGTTTCAGCACTTGCTTTCATTCCCTAGGGTTGCATTCTCAAATGTTCATATATGAGCATCTGGATCAGTGAATCAGGAATTTCATGTTTTCTTGTCACTTTGAACTGTATTTGGGCTCATTCCTTTCCCTGTTCATCATAAATGTTTCAACTTTATGACAAACATTTCCTGCGTGCACTCCTGTTTGCACCAAATAGATGAAGGGCAGATTCAGCCTAATATGAAAGAAGAATAATTCACTTCCTCCTTTGAACAAGCGTGGGCATGGCTTTGAAAGCAGTGCCAGTTGTCTATGGCTTCATGGGCTGCAGTGGAACTTGCTGTTATCAAGATTTTACTCTGGAAGCTGCTTGTGCCATGAGCAGTGCCTGCCCACCAGCATTGCTTCTCCTGATCAGACCCCTGTGCCTGCCTCTGGGGGATCCCACCCTGCCCTGTCTCCAGCGCACAGGCTGGTATTGCTTAGCACCTCAAATAGGGCAGAAGGTTTCTTGTCCGAGAGTTTTGGGAAAAGGTGTTTTGGTGGTGCATGAGAAGGTCTGGGTTTGCCTTCTTGCTCTGCCACAGTATTTCCTGATCATCTTGTCAGTGTCTTTCTTTTCCAGATACCTGTAAGAGGGACAGAATTTCTTTTTTGTGGTTTGCCCCTGTGACTGGAGCTGCCCGAGGTGTGGGCTGTTGAGTGGATGTGGACAATGTGTTGTAGTGATTTGTTAAAAACCATTGAGCACTGCTGGAATTCAGGTCCAAGCCCAGTGTGAATGTGCATTCACTCTCATTGGAGTCAGTTTGCCAGCATAATGGTTGGGAGAGCAGCAGGGCAGGTGAAACTATTTTGGGGAAAACGTCCACATTTTCATGCGTTTGCAAAAGTGGGTTTTGTTTTCCAGGTGTGTCTCCATGTGCTCTGCACTGGTGTTCTTTGTGTCTGGAATTTCATGAGTAGAAGTCGTGTAGCAAGTCCAGTATTTCCAGGAAGCACAAGAACTGCTTGTGCACAGACAATCCAGTGCTGTCTGGACACATCAGACGTGCTACAAAGTCACCTGCCAGCTATGCAGAACAAGGGCTGGAGGTGTGACCAGCTCCTTTCAGCAGGCTTTGTCTCCTGCATAGGTGCCAGCAACTCACGGTGTATGTGATGCCTCCTGGAAGCCCTGAACTTACCGTGCAGAGCTGTACAGCACTGGGGATACAGAGAATAGCTTTGGGCTGCCTGCCGTGAGCCTAGAAAGATGTCTGTACAGGTGTAGAACTCTTCAATGCCAGCCTGGAGACGTGTCCAAGTGGACAAAAAGAGTGAGTCCAGGAAAGTCCATCTGGACAATAACCCTACCTCAGCCAAGTCAGCCAGAGGCTTCTCATGTGGATCCTAGAGATCAAGCTCTCCCAAGCAAATGAGCACTGCTCAATGGTACCTGGCCAACACAGTGCCACACAGCCTGTCCTGGGATGCTGGGAGTGCTCTCGTGGCCCTCGGAGGCACTGAGCAAAGCCTTGCGGATGGGCACTCACCGGGAGCTTGGTGCTGCCATCGCCAGCACAATGCACAGCAGCTGGAAAGCAGGCAGCTGCCTGGGTGAAGGGCTGTTCCTAAGCCTTGCAAAGTTTGTTGTGTGGGAATCCCCAGAGGGTAAGAGGGAGGGAGAAGTGGGGGGAGGGCGGCGTTTGCCTGGAGCTGTAATGAATATGTTTTTAGTGGAAGGGAAGGGACATCTCTAGTCGTGGGATAACAGCTGCACAATTTCAAAATTCCTCTGACAAGATGTGGCCAATTCCAGGGCTGCAGGGTTTTGAGGTTTTGTTTTTTGTTTTTCCAAGCTTCAAGTGCCTTCAGCCAATCTCTTGCTCCCTAAGTGTACTTTTCAAAGCACAGATGGTGTTTTGCTGCGTTGATAAGGTTTGAACGTGAGCAGCTCCCTGCTGCCATCCATGCCAACCCTTAGCATCCCCAAAGTGTTGAGCAGGATCCACTATTTGCTGGAGAAACCTCTTTGTCTCTCAGAATCAACTGAATATCTCCCTCATTGCTAGAAGGAAGATTTTTAGTGTATTTTGGGTACTGGGAATTGCATGGTTTGCTCCCTCCCTCCCCGCTTCTTTTCTGATTTTAAAACGTAACTGAGGAAGAGAGACTCAAGCCTGCTGGGTCTTCTGTGGAGCTAGTTTTTTCCAAAGGCCCATCCACAGGGGGGTAAAGCACGTTGCAGGATCTCCGTTCTGTCCTGTACCTGGCAAAAGTAGCTTCTGTCCTCCCCTGTCTTGAACTTGCATTGGGATAGGAGCATGAAGCTGTGGGAGTAACTATTCCATTTAGAAATGGAAGATTTCTATGGCTTGCTGGATTGTTATTTTTTTTAAATATTTATTTGCTGAGAGAATTCTGGGGACAGAGGAGGAAGGAGCGTTGGGTAAACACTGGGAACCCAGCTCTACCGTTGGCTGATTACAGGCACGTGGGGTCAAGTACAGTGTGGGACCCAGGCTGGACAGTGTGGGAATCTGGCCATCTACTTTCCATGCTAAGCGTTACCAAGGGAAGGAAATTGCATTGAAATGTTCAACTGTTGCCCTGATCTACATTTTCAGAGAGAAGAACTGGTGGAGTCAGCTCAGGACTCACAGTAACCTGGGAGGCCTTGGAAACTGCCTGATACTTCAAACAAACCAAGGTCTCCCGCTGCACTGTCAGGCTCTTACCATGTTGCTCATTGTCTCTTTGAACCGATCTTGGAGAATTCACTGCTAAGAGTGCTGGCTTCAGCCAGGCAGATCAATACCCCCACCACTGGAGTCCCCTTTTGGTGTGTGCAGTGCTGTTGATTAACCAGGCAGCAAGACCTATGTGCATGACCAAGTGAGCTGGTGGAGCGAAGGAACACAGATGAAAAATATTAATTTCCCTGCTTTTCTGTTACCTATTCACTGCCTAAAGGGAAAGGGAATAGCTGGCATACAATGCCACCGTGGAGTCCTTGCTCTGCTGGGCTGGGTGGGTTCTGCACAGCAGTTCAAAGGCCCATCTGAAGAAGCCAGTGCGTTTCTTACTGTCTTCTGAGACACTGGGCCATTGGGAAGTTGCATGGGTGTTAGGGTCTTATTGGATGTTGCTGATGTAATTCCCATTTCCTTTGCTTTATAGGTACAATGGCTTGGTGACTGGCTCTCGAGCTAAAGGTATCATTGCCATCTGCTGGGTATTATCTTTCATCATCGGCTTGACACCAATGCTAGGCTGGCACAAACGCTCGCAGATCGAAGAGCTGGGTTCCAACAAGTCCTCTCCCATCAACTGCAGCAACAGCATGGTGGTTTGTCTCTTTGAGGGTGTGGTCACCATGGAGTACATGGTCTACTACAACTTCTTTGCCTGTGTGCTTTTGCCCCTCCTCCTCATGTTTGGTATCTACTTGAAAATCTTCATGGCAGCCCGACGCCAGCTCAAGCAGATGGAGAACAAGATGGTACACGGGGAACGTTCTCGCTCCACCTTGCAGAAGGAAGTCCATGCAGCTAAGTCTTTAGCCATTATTGTTGGGTTGTTTGCAGTCTGCTGGCTTCCACTACATATTATTAACTGCTTTACCCTTTTTTGCCCAAGTTGTGCACGTGCTCCTCTCTGGCTGATGTATCTAGCTATTATCCTGTCTCACACCAACTCAGTTGTAAATCCTCTGATTTACGCGTACCGAATCAGGGAGTTCCGCTACACCTTCCGCAAGATCATCAGCCAGCACATCCTGGGCCGCAAGGAGCCCTTCAAGGCAGGAGCAGCCAGCTCCAGGACTTCCACCCACGGCGGGGACGCAGAGAACGCCAGCATACGGATCAGCCAGTACGCACTGGAGGTGTACACCAACGGGGAGATCCACAGGGATCCTGAAAAGCAGGACCTAAACAAATGCAAAGCTGCCTTGGAGTGGCATAAGAACGGAAATGCTCTGGACATGGACACAAATGGGCATCTCCCACATTCCTGCAAAAATGGGATCCTCTCAGATGCATGCATGAGCAGGGAGCTTCACAGCGAAGAGCTACTTGATGCCCAGATGTCTTACTCAGACCTGGAGAGAGCAGCCTTTGCAGCAGCTGATGTTTCCTGATGAGACTTTCCAAGTCTTCCTGGTAGAATTATTTCTTTTTCACCGGTGACCTCTGCCATGGCAGAAAGGGAGGTTGGGGGGCGGGGGGAGAGGTGTGTATTCAGATCGCCGTGGAGAAAGGGGTCCCTACCCAGGACTGTTGGGATGATCCTAAATACTAGACTGGAGGAAAGCCAAGAGACCACTGAAATGGACTAAGGAATGAGGGACACGTTACCCATCAAGGACCTGTCACTGAGAGCTGTGCCAAGGTCAGAGATGGCATTCCAAGTTCAGCACTGGGGGGCCCTGCTGATGCAGGGGATATCGTGACATGATGCTGTACTGCGTGTCTGTGGCTGAATGTCCTTTTGCTGTCCTTACCAACAGAAGTAAAAGCATGGCTGGAAGTATTCACTGAATTGCAAAAAGCAAGAGGGAAGGGGCCTTTAGTACTTTGGCCCTGCAGAAGGGAGATAGCAGCATCTATTGGTCAGGAAGGATGCCAGCAGCTGCTTGGACAGGGAAGGAATTTACCTGATGGGAACTTTGGATACCTTCAACCATGGCATTTTGTCTTTCAGTTCATGTTTTTAAACCTTATACTGCAACAGGATGCTCAGATGTTTTGGGTTTTTCCCTTGTCTTGATATGATTACTTTGTTAAGTTATAAAAGATGGGCAAGAACTCATATCCATTCCCTGCGTGCTCAGTGTGCCAGCTGCACGAGGCAACACAAGCTCCTAGCTGCCCGCTCTGTCTGGCGCAGTGAGAATGGGCCTGTCACAGGGCCTGCCACAGGGCCTGCCACAGGGCTTCCCCGAGGCAGAAGGGCCGGGCAGGAGCTGGCGCTGCTGCTGGTAGGTGGGGAAGCAGGGCAGGCTGTGGGCGGGGCCAGCAGGGCGGCCGTGCCCTGAGGTGTTCTGGAGAGCTGCCTGGGGTCCGTGCTGTGTGCAGGCTGTGGGCACTCTGCTTTCCCCTGTCTCCGTGTTGGTCCTCCTGAACCCCTAGAATGGGGATTCTTTCTGTTGTGGCCTCAAAGCTGTGTGAGGGGAGCTAATTTCCTGTATTTTATCCTCACTCAAAAGGCTGTGGGTTTTTTTTTTTCCTTCTTTCTTGGTGTAGAGAGGAGCACATGTCACACTTATTTTTGCAATTCCAATAAGCTCTATTTAAACACCTTTTCTCCTGTGATTTCAGTTTTTTCCTGATGTGCTTTACTGTGAAGCCCAATGTGTCCCTGTGGTGCAGAGGCCAACAGGGCTGCGTCTGTCTGGTTAGAAGATGCTCCTACTCTGAGAAGCTGAAAGGTGTTAGCAATAGTGGCAATCAACTTAGAAACTGCAGTAGTCTGTCTGTATAACAAAACAGGCAAATCTGTGCTGCAATAAGTGTATGCATTGATCAGGTTTGTTGTAGGGGTGTTTCACAGCAGCTCGATAATTTTCTGTACTGCTTATGAAGCCTGGTAACTAACTCAAGGACAGCAGGATGGCACAGCAGCTTGAATTTTACCTAAGCATTTTCTGTTTTTTGTTTTCCTGACAAACAATCCATGGCCAGCCTTCTGGAAAGACAAGCAGTAATGGTCCTACTGGAAAACTGGAAGTCTGGTAATTCCAGGGCTCTGAAGATTATTGCCTGTTTGAAAACATCAGAAATATCCCCCAAACCTGGCTCGTCCCTGTTTCAAAAGCCAAATAATCTCATTTTCAGTAAGGAATGGGGAACTGGATTTTTATATTTGAGGAAGAGCAGGTTAGGTTTGTGTGTCCTTACTCCATGTTTATTTTAAATATTGTGAACTATTAAAATGAAAAGTCAGTTTTATTTGGGGAGAATTTTCTTTTTGCCAGTCTCCCTCCATGGAGGTGGGGAGTAGTTTATCATGCTGAATCTGTTCAAGTATGTAACTGCTCCAGGCTAGCACGGAGCTTTCTGTGAGATGGGTGAAAAGATGTGGTTGCAACCACAGACATTAGCAGACAAGTTTGTAGAACAATAGACTTCACAGTTTAATTGAATTGCTGCCGCCTTGGCACGGCTCTTCCAGGGAGTCTAACGTCAGAGGAGCAGATTATCACTCCAGCACCATTAACAAACACTCGGCCATTTCCCTGTCACTGACGTCGTAGGTAGTTCCTCCGCAGGGGGACTTGGGATCTTGTTACTCTTGATCTCTCTTGATGGAATATTTCTGTAGGTTATTTGTGGGATGGCTCCTCTGACCTCCTGTAACAGTGGCAGAGGAACTCAGTCAGGAAAATGGGGGTCTGATCTCTTAAGGCCTCAGTTGGGAGCTGCAACGTTTCTAAGAATAACACTAGATTACATCCGGTATTCATGTCAATAACAATTAGGTCCACAAAGAAGCAGAGCAAGGAAGGAAGTGTGGGAAAATACCAGCGTGGCTCGTGTGCTGGAACACAGGCGAGTGCAGAACTGTCTCTGGTGAACTTTACTCCCTGTTGCAAAGGGTTCTTGTATGCCACACTGCATCAGATTTTCAACAGCTGATGTGGGTTGGTTGCTTTCTACGGTTTCCTGAGCTTCTTCACACTCAGTTGTGGCAGGGTTTTTCTTTTTCGCAGTTGTGGCAGCTTCTTGCTTAGCAGCCATAAGAATCAAGTTGACCTATGTTGATTCAACAAACTTAGTGTTATCCCTCTGGAAAACTTTCCTGCCCAACCAGATTGCCATGCGAGCTTACTGAGTGTCTACACGTCTTGAAATTAGTTTTTCTATTGCTGTTTGAGATGCCCTCAAGTGTGTCCAATCCCTTTCAATGTTAATGGTCCAGAATTGAAATGAGAAGGATGTGTGGAGGGGCCAGAGGATGTGTGCAGGAGGAAGTGCAGTGGGGGTAAGGAGGCAGCATGGTTTATATGGAATTGGAAGTCTGTAGTCACAGGAAGGAAGGGATGGCAATTGCACCACATGCTGTGTGCCTTCTGGCAGACATATGTCTGAGATGGACCTTCAGAAGATGTTTCCAAAGCAGTTGTTGGGGGAAGCATGAGCCTTTTGAACAGAATTTTGGACTTCTTATTTCTTTTTGTTTCCTAGGGGTCATGATTTTGAGGCTTTCTTTTTTTAAAAAAGGAAAAAAAGAAGCTTTAGGACCACATGACTGAAGTGTGGTCTTTCCTTCTCCTGGCAATCCTGTCTACCCTTTAAAAAAGTGTCTCTCTTCCAAACTGCATAGGACAGGGATCGTTACAAAAGTGAAAGGTGAATAATTTTCTCCTAACCTCTCTACTCGTATCCTGATTTTCATTCTAGCTGGAGTATGTTTAGCTGTTGAAAGGATAAACAAAGATACTACCAAGACAAAGGGAAGACTAAGGTGATCATCAGGAGAGGCTGGAGAAGACCTACTTGGGAATCTAAGGTGCAGTGGGTCCAGAGAGTAAAAAGCTGGGATAAGAAGAGACTAATTTAACTGAACTGGAACATATTACTAAAAACTTCTCAGGACCCATAGAGAGATGTGCTTCATTTGGCAGATGATGGCATTCTATGAATTTCACCATTCCCTGGAGACTCTTGGGCTCCAGGGTTTATTAGCTTTATAGGGTTTGGTAGAAAGTTAAGTTTGATCCATTGCCAGCAGTAATTTTATGAAGAGTTGTTCTTGTGGCCATCTACTCAATAGGGCACTGCTTTTGTGTGTGTGCAAATAAATGCACTTACAGCTTTGTTCTGCAGAGTTTCTTTTGCATCAGTAATATTTCAAAGCTCCGTGCAAGCTGGAACTGCAGCTCTTGAACAGAGAAGCAATTTGGCATGGTGGGACAGCTGAAGTTACTCTAGGCAGAAAGGGTTTGCCACTGATCCCAGTTGGTGCTAGGAAGCTTATTGTGCAGAGGAACTTAGGAGTTACATGGAGCAGTCCGAATTGTTGATCATTCTTTGAAAAGGGGCTCCAGAGGATGCTGGTGGCTATAGAAAAGTCTCTGAGGTGCAGAAGCAGACCAGAGGGTTAGGATTGGATGGGAAATCTTGGTGGTGAAGGAGGATTTGCAGGGTAGGTGTTGCGGAGGATTTCAGGGGAGCAGGACTGTGCTGAGAGAGCCAGAGATGGTTCTTACATATTATCTCCTTTTCAGAGACATAGTATCATTTCGTGAGCATGCCCCAGTGATAGAAAAGCCCTTCTGGCTCCTGAGCACGAGCCCTCCCTAGACACGGGTGAAGCCAGCCGCGCTCTGTGGGAAGGACGAGCTCGCCGTGGCAGCACCTGCAGGACTGCAGTGGTGTTTGCTCAGCCTGGCTGCCTAATAGCTGTCAGCTCTCTCCCAGTTCGTTATGGGCATCAAACTGCACTGAGTCGTACCACAGAGGTTGTTCTTTATAGCCCTGAGCTTTTGGCCTTCTTTACAGTAAAACACATCAAGAGTAACTAAAATCCCACCAGTTCCTGGTTTGCATGAGAGGGACTCGCCCTGACGGACCCAGAGTCCCCAGGCTGGGGCAGTGTTGTGTGTAACTCCCCGTCCGATTTGTCTGCTGGGACTATTCACACAAGGATGTGTTTAAATCATGACTGGAACCTGTTGTTCTGGGAACACCCTTTGCCTCCCCGACTGTCTCAGGAGCTGGTGTTCCTCGCCCCTGTCCTGTGGAGCTGTTGCCTCTGTGCTCGGCAGACCGAGACACTATGAACACCTTGCTGCACATGCTGGCACTGTAAAAGAATTGCTCTTTTAATTTAAATGTTTTATGAATATAGTTGTTGTTTTCCCTCTGTATGTCAGTTGCTGGGGGGAGGGGAGGGAAGGGGGTGGGAGAATCTGTGCATGCAAATGTATTTAAAAGTGCATTGACCAAGTGGTTTTTTTTGAATCTGTGAAGTTTTCATATCTGTGAAGTCATCAGACTGCTGGGCAGTGAGGAGCCGCTGGTGCTGCTGAGTCTGTCTTGGTTACATTTCTTAATAAGCATTAAAATAATAAAATATATTTGTAGAAGAGAGTGTGAGTGCCTTTGTCCCAGGAAGATCTGGCTTGCTGACCTTTTT